TCCTTGTGTACTTCGGTACTGCATATTTTCTTCTAATATTATTTCTTCTTGTATGATCAGGAAAGTATCTGGCGCTACAGTATTTCCCTAACGAAGAACTTAAACAAATAGGTGTAATATTAACCTTATCAAACCATGGATTGCAGGCCAGAGTACGTGGTCAAAATAGAATAAATAGGATGGCATTGAGATGAAGCAATAATGCACACTCCGAGGTCGAGGGGCTGATTACTTGCCACTATGATTTCATAACGCGGTCTTGTCAACTGACCGCAGTAAGTTACTGACTGAAGCACATAAATCGATAGTTTGTGAAGAGGAGCATGAATTGGACCGGGTCATTAGGGCCGAGGTCAGTCGATCGGAATGAAACCACAAATAGGGTTTATTTACCGTGCCCGAACTGGCTATTTGTTAGGTAGAACTCTATCCCGTTTTGGAAGTCGCCACGAGAACGCCCTTTTTCGAGCATATCATGGCTTCGAGGGAATGGAATGAAAATACTTTCCTATTCCGGTGGTAGCCATGTATCTGATGGGTTTTATTGGATTTACCTTTCATGACTTGTAAACTGCGGTTTGTTTTTTGGTAAATTTTACCCGTTTTTACTCTAAACTCATTTTACATGCCAAATCCCTTCCATTGAAATATTTACCTTAAAGCAAAAACAAACCACAGAGTTCTTCACTTAATTGCAATTTCGTAGAAAAAAGGGATTTGTGTTCAGTACTGCTTTTAAAGGTGGTATTATCACAATGCTGCTGATCCGGTTACCTAGACTAGTAACAGCTTTGTAAAACCCTAAGAAGATATATCTAGTCCTCACATTCTACTAGCAGGATGGTCTCTCTCCATTAATAGCCGTCACGTAGAATCTCCATATTTCATCCAGTTAGTGAAGTTTCCCTATGTGTTCTCATTGCGATGATCAGTTAATCCCGCTACCAAAGCCGTGAATTGGTCTGGTGGTGGCTTTTCTAAAAACATTTAGGAGATCTGAGGCAAATGGATCCTATTTTACTAGCCTGAAGGACCAATTGCGGCAAACTCTAAAGACCCATTCATTCGAATCACTACATTTATTTTTAACAAAATAATTGATTAAACCCCTAATATTTTATGCTACAATTTTCCGGCATGAGACGCTCGTAGTATGGATGGGCCGATTCCTGAAGTGTCACATCCAACGGCTTTTTATGCTATGCAGAGTTAATTCCACTCTAGTATAGAAGTATTTTTGATATTCCAGCATTAGCACTAAACGCCTCCCCTCCACCCCACTTTCCAATGTACGTGTATCTGCATTCTTTTCTGATTTGATTGTGGCTAGCCTGGTGGTTTTGTAGCGTCTCGTGGGAACAACCACAAAATGCAATTATCACATTCCGAGTTACACTTCATCTCACGTCAAAGTGATTCGAATTTTTGACGTTGTGATGACTAATCTGGAAAGTTGTTCAACGGGAGCGTCGGAGACGACCCTCAAAAGTGGAGAGAGGCTCTTCGTTTCGTATACAAGAGCACAAAAGGGCACGGCCATCATAATTCCACTGGTAGCCCCTTAACCCTTCTGTGGGTCACCAATACAGACATCTTTCGTCCTCAGCGATGACTCAGTGTGCTACAAAAGAACGCTGTCCAAGCCTCCGATGAACAGCCTTTGCTTCAAAAGCTTGAGCAGTTAATTTCCAATATGCCTTACCCACTTCCAGAATAACCCCATTTCCTGTCAATGACGGAATGATAATCATACCGCCACCTAGCTGCATCTTAAACCAACAAAATTTCAATCACATTGCACAACTTTTAGTGTTTTGAGAAAGTAAATATTCCTCCCCACTGTCTGATGATAATACTTAACCATATTTTATTCTTGAAATAAGGTTTTTTACCCCAATTCTATTTTTATTTATTTGGATTCATGTGTAGACGGAGCCCTTCGCAGTAACGCCACACCCGCCTCACCATCTCTGCACTGCATTGTTCCGCGGCGCGTCATCCAACTTCCGGTAGTACAGACATCTGGTGTGGGACAGGAGGCGTGCGCCTGAATAATAAAACACCGCCTACACTCCTCGGGTGACAACGGATGCTGTAACCATGCCTCGTTTTCGTAGTTGTGGTGGATATGGTAGTGATCCCCCCGGATCTCCCTTCGGAGCTGTTTCGTTTCGCTCGCGTGTGTGCCCGCACAGGTGTGCAAGCACGAAGGTGGTTGTAAAATGGCCATATGGAAAAAATTACCTACAGCTTGAAGTAGTAATGAGTAATTTGGCAGTGATGGGGAAAAGACTAGTTCTAGTCTACACCATTGTCATTGCGCAATCACGCCCAAATGCGCCTCATGCAGTTCAATCGATGCCTTGACACTAATTTGACGCAGCCACCAGTCGACTTGTCCACAATCTGGGGCGGGGGCTTGGCCATCCACTTGAGTTGGGGTAATTGGAGTTGACAATCCCAGTAACAATTATGTCACCATCCTAACAAGGTGAGTTGGAAAATTCCTCTTAAATAGAAACAATAATGTCTATATTTGTGCATTTTTTGCTTAAATGTGTTCTAAGTAGTTGAATATACCACTTTCCCATTGACACCTACTCTTCGATCCCTATCGTGGAGCTATTGTAGCGTCCCGAGACTCCCTGAAGACACAATGCTCGGGTAGAATATATATATTCAGCACGGAGAAGGTGTCTGGACTACTGGCATGGCCCAAAATGCCAGCCCACCCAGTGTGGTACAAGGGGGCTAATTCAAAGTACAAAAGTGGTGCCTCACCAGTGCCGAGGGATAAACCACTATCGTATTACACTATATACAATATCGTGACTTTAAAAAGGAACCTTGATGACATCGGACCTTCTATTTACACTACACACTGCGTAATTTGCCTCTGTTGATAAATGACAAACTATTTATGTTGTAGTTGCAAACCTTTCATGTGGGGAAGTCAGTTACTGTTTTCATGACAATAGTCTAGTAAACGGAACTTAACACTTCACAACACTACCTTTTGAAATTTTGTATTCCACCTAATTGCTTAAAAGGAATTGCTTTTGGCAAACAAATATGAATGTTCAAATTCTTCTTTAACAGGCTATGTGCGGAATTTACAGTGCAATACGGAGTCTATGAAAACTTGACATTCTTTTTTGATAAATCTCATCCCTATTTGAAGCTTTGCAGGATGGAAAATATGGACAAAGTTAAATGAGAATAACCACTAGAGTCTCTGTAGACTTGATGCGCTATACACGACATGATTTGGGACTTCAAAGGATGGAAATGGAAACGAAAAAATGGATGCCTCATTCTACGACGGCTAACTAGTATGAACCTATGTACAGCTCAATAAAAAACTACTCGCTATGTAAAGATTGCCATTCGTAAGTTACTTTTGTTTCATAGTGTAATCCCCAAAGCAATGACATCAGACTACTTGGATTCCGGAGAGCGTTGCCTTTGTTCCGCAGCCCGGTTTTTTCATTCAAAAGGCTGAAACTTGTTTTCACGTGTGTGGTAGGCTGGCAAAAGGAGACAGCGTTTACCATAAAGACCAAAAACTCTCACAGAAATGATCTTCTTTCCAACCTTTGGGATGTCAAAAGATGATTATTGTGTAGATCAACCTTTTTCATAGAACCATATTATATCATTCTTCGGAAAACTGTGTTATCCACCTTTTGAAGCAACCAAAACAAGGGCCAGAACCGCAAAATGTCTCTACTGAAAGATGATTTCCCCTGAGTAGTAGCCTCAATGTTAAAGGCACAAAGAAGACTGTCCTTTAATTGAATCTCAGCATCACGTGAGTAACACATTATTTTAACTCACACCTGGGCTAATTTTATTCGTGGAAGGCTGTTCAAGGTGAAAGCGGCAGTTCAAAAGATAAGGCAGCTGAAAATAGACACACATCATGCGGTGGAATTGATGTTCTTTCTCAGTTCTACTGTTCCTAACGCTTTACTAATTTGGCGTAACGCCTAAATGACAAGCTCAGTAACAGTTTGCGAAGAGAGATGAGTTAAGATTCGTGCCTTTTTAAGTAACAAATAATCGGAGATGGGAAGACAAAGCGCAATGAGCGGGAAAGTGGAAGGAGGGGCTTGAGGTATGATTTGAGGTCCCATCACCTATTAAACTTTCCCCAAACCGTAAAAATTTTTGAATACGTGTACCACCGGGCCACTTTGATACATTAGAATAACACCCTTGGGAGAGAGGCAACTCGGCCGAATGATAAAAGCGCAAATTAGCGCTCTTTCCATATGGTGAAAAAACGAAGGGGTGGGGGAAGAGACTTTCTTTTTTAAGTTGAATTGCGCCAAGTAATCACTACTAGATCGCCACAATAGGCGCTAATTAAGAGCTTTTTTGGGGTGCAGAGAAAATGCACTTCATATAAATGGGTGGCACATGTTCCCAGAATACCCTGCCCACAGTCACATGGATGGGAGCACTTATGGCAAAGTAGTAGACCAGAGTATCCGAGGGGCTATCACACGGTTCTGCTAAATTGCGCAGATTTACGAATGTCCAGAATCACGAATAACGTTGCGCTTTTTTCGCCTTCAAGATCCCGCCTAAGAGTAGAAATGGTCACAGAAAACTGTTTGTGAGGGCCACAAGCGGATCGGAGTGAAGCCAGTTCACGGTGCTGTCAAATGCTCTCCTTTCTGCAGCGGTTAATACGGCATTTTGGGGGAAAAGAATGGTTGTAAAAAGCCTAATTTCCAACATCACTGCCAGTGTCTTGACAACTGCCGAATTGTCTAAGTTGTTAAGGATAGCATTTTTAACAACTCGGTGACAGATTTACGTGATGTGTAAGGCTATAGTGTTTAGGTTTTGCATTCTCTACATGACTGTACTTGTTCACCCCTTCTGTAAAACGCATGAGTTAAATTTTGGGGATTGCTTCTGCGGATATTTGGCAGGGATTGGTAAATTATTACTTTCGTCTCGGCAGTAATTGCCGTTTGACGTTGAAATGTCCCTGCGCAGTAGTGATTAGATATTTCACATTCGGAGCTATTGTACACAGATAC